ACCTACACTGTGGATGTGGCTGTAGCTGTGTGATGGTGTGGGTATGGATAAAACTGTCTTCTTCGCCAACACCCACATCACACTCACACATTCATACCCTATATCCATACCCCACTCACCCTTTGTAGTGATAACTAAGGAACACTTTAATAACCAAAATTATGTCATTTTTATCTTAGATTCGGCTAGAATAGCAATATTTGTTTTTTTTGTCTTTTTTTTTATACATATGATTCAAATGCCTTGCGTAAATCAATCTATTTGAATTATATCGAGCCACGGTGATTTGTTTATTTCTTCTTACAACAAAAGACAAATCTGTACTGGTGTTTCGTTATCAACTGCCAGAGATTATAATTTTCTGAGTTGTCGTATGTTCGTCGGTCATTCCCGTTACTCGACAACACTTTATTTTGTTAGAGAAGTTGAAAAACAGACTGAATAACAATGCATAAGTAAAAAAAAGACAATATAAGACAGACGTTGACTCTGTCATGGTCTCATCCTTTGCGATACAGATGAAAACACGGATATCGATCAGGACGACGTGTGAACCATAATCTATTGGTTGCATTATTTTATCTTGTCGATAGTCTATTATTTTAATTTATTAATTCATCTACCGTTGATTTTCCAAGAGCATGCTTCGTAAACGAACATGGTTTTGTTCTGAATTACACAAGAAAATAAATAAATGCAGAATGGTTGATATTCACAAACAGCTAATATACAAGGTATAACATGAGTAACCACTTGAAACGAACTACGAAAGATGTTTCAATAATGCGGGTGAAGCAATAATCGCACGTTCGCGCAGGCGATAGCGCATAGCATGTGACACTTTGGTATCGCTCGGGTTGATTTCAATAGTAATTGTATTGTTTTCTGCAGCGCGTAAAACTGGTCCGGCGATGTATGGAAATATACTAGTAGTTCCAATTATGATAACAGCATCCATACCTTTGTACAGTATCTCGGAAAATCTTGTGACCGCACGCATTGGCAACATTTCACCAAATAGAACGATACGTAGTCGTAGGAGCTCACGGCAACGGTAACAAACAGGCGGAATTTTCATGCCGTCGAAATCGGTAACGTATTTTTCATGTTTACAACTGGTGCAAAATAGTTGATGTATGTTGCCATGAATTTCGATGAGATCTTTTGTACCGGCACTACGATGTAAACCATCGATATTTTGTGTGAGTACAGCGAAATATTCAAATTTTGATTCAAGAGCTACGAGTGCTTCGTGTACAGCATTCGGTTTAGCAGCGCGACAAGCAGACTCAATTTGACAGATGTACTTCCAGCCAATATCTGGTTCCGTACGCATAGTATAGCCAGACAGAGCCTCCTCAATTGTCTGTCCTTCTTCGGCCTCGCGACCATCACTATACAGACCATCGATGCCACGGTAAGTTGGTAATTCTGAATCCGCAGAAATGCCTGCGTCAGTGATAGCTAGCACACGTTTAGCGCAACGAAGCTCTTTGGTAGCCGTCTTCTACAATATATTTAACTTCCTATAAAATATGGCAGAAATGCATTATTCTCGAATAACATCAAAAAAAAGCTTCAAACTCATTTCTTCTGGAAAAATCCAGTGGAATTGAAAAGAAAGGTATCTAAATTCATTTTTACCACGAAAAAAATGTTCTTCCAAAACAGTTCTTCTGCACAAATGAAATATTTGGGATTCGTTTCGAATAAGATTTCATAGACTGAATAGAAAGATTTATGTACTCTTGCCAGTATGCTTCCATCGTTGTTAAGACCTTAAATAGAACGCTGAAAATTAGTCCATTCATGACAGAAAGCTGTTTTTTTGCAAAAGTGCATGAATATAGGTTGTCCAAATAGGCACTAAACAAAGAAAAAATTGAATATTTTCGCCACATTTCAATCAAATGAGCTGATATTTTTGCCACTGATAGAAGAGTGTTTATAGGGTGTGGGTGTGGATGGGCGTGTGAGTGAGAGTATCAATCTTCTCTTTATTTGCAGCCACAGTCAGTGTCACACGTACTTGCAAACACCCACTCGCACGCTCTCACGCAAACTCACACTCGTACTAACACTAACACCCACACCCATCGATAAGAAAAACAGTTACAGAATATATTTTACTAATAAAAAATTTTACAGCGTCATCTATAACAAAAAAATTGATCTCATAAATGGAGCCGATTTGGTCCCTGTGACTGGTATAAACGGTTCAGACGCATCAACATTATCAGTGTGCGTCAAAGCCGACTCACGTTTGATTGATTTGGTATATATAACACGCCCGGCATCAAAGGGTTAAATTAAATTAATACACAATAAAATTACTTAATGATTCGTCTCCGACATCGATTTTCAACAGTATGATCTTGAGAAAAAATCGATAACATGATTTTTTTTTCGCGTGGATTTTTTGTACACACACTATCTCTCATGTCACAGTGATAATGTGAGTAAAAGGGCTCAAATGGAGTGTTTAAACAGAAGATACAAAAAAAATTGTCTAAATCAGTTATTGACCGAATACAGCGAAAATCTCAATCGTACCAAAAAAAGTTATAATTCATTCGTATGCATTCTATATTGAAATCGATGCTTGCTATACATTTCTAAAATACAAGAAGTAAAAATATTACAAAAGATAATTTTTTCATCATTGTATTTAGACCAGAAATGTCTTTTTTTTTCTCATATGCACTCCATCTTTATCGTGATCATATAACAGAATAAAAAACAAAAAATAATGCATTGTTTTCACCTTGACTGATGAATCATTTTTATGTAACATTATCGACACAACACATGACTTCATCTCCAACATCATATTTTATTACTGTACGTGGTATTCGTATCCATTATAATCTTGCCATTCCTAATAATAGAATATGTTCTGAAAATAATGGTACTATTGTTTTTATACATGGTTTTCTTTGTAGTACATTTACTTGGAATAAATGTCTACAACCATTAGCTGATTTAACTGGTTATCAAGTTTTAGCATATGATCGTTTAGGATTTGGTTTAACTGAACGAATTCTCAATGGTGAACTTTATACTCGAAAAAATGAAGAATTAATTGCACTTGAATTACTCAATCAATTGAATATATTAAATAATATTCATCTTGTTTCAAGTTCATCGGGAGCTGTTATTGCTTTTGATATAGCTATAGCTCGACCAGATCTTATTCAATCAATTATTTTTATTGCTCCCTATGGTCTTATTACTTTTCAATATTCAGCAGGACCTATAAGTCGTTTATTTCTTGGTATTCAACCAATTCAATATCTAATCAAATTTGGTCTAACACATTTTCTTCCATTTAAAAATGCTTATTATAATGAAGATATTGCAAACGATAATATAACTCGTGAAGGTTATCTTAAACCTATACATGATGATCCACTTTTTATAAAAAGTTTTATTCTTTTTATACAAAATTATGATGCATCATCATCAAATACATTATGGAATAAACTTGATAAAAAACTAAAAATTTTAATTATTATTGGTGAACAAGATAAAATAGTACCAAAAGAAAATATTCAAGAATTTTATAATATTTTAAAACAAAATCGTTCATCCGAAAGTATAACTGAATATGTCATTATTTCACAATGTGGTCATTTACTACAAGAAGAACAAGCCGATAAATTAATAACATTAATTAATCAATTTATCACATGTTAATCAACACCTTGAGCTAATAAAATTGTTTCTCTTTTCAATGGACCATAAAAAGCATCATACAAATGTGAATACATAACTAGAAAATAAAAAAGAAAATTCAATTTAAACAAGAACGATAGATAGGAAATTACTTTTTCATAAAGTTTTAATGTTCTGACAAAACATATATATCTGTTAATGAATACTCAAACCCTCAGCATTTTTACTAACTTCTATAACTTTTGGCTCTTATGATGTTTTAAATTCTTCGATACTGCTTCTGAGCGCAAAGGCGACTAACCGTGAAACTTTGTACCGTTATAGTCATATCGACCAATCAATACCTATAAAAAGGTAACTTATTCGAAATCTAAGAGTAGTAATACCTGTATTGCGATAAAAACTTTTTGAATGAACAAATTTTTATCTATAAATAATAAGTTTATCACGTCCTATTATTTGACAAATATGAATCTTTTGAAAATGGCAAAAAAATTTTCGTTTTCGGGTCCCTGTAAGGAATACAGAGATTATTTTTTATTTTACTTGGATTCTCACGGATTTAACTTTTTAGATAGCCGGATGTGATTAGAGTATGGAGCTCTATTAGATTCAATATATATTCAATTAAAAGTTTTCCATATCTCCGTACGCTTCTCCAGGAATCCGAAAGCGAAAAATTCATATTTATCAAATAATCGAGCATAATAAACTTATTGTTTAAAGATAGAAATTTGTTTACTCAAAATGTATTTATCGCAAAACTCATATGCTTTTCTGTCCTTATCTATCAAATAATCGATCTCTTCTAGGCATTGATTAGTTGATTTGACTATGACGTATTTCAATTCAAAAGACAATCAATTGGCGTACATACAAAGTACGATAGCACAAAGTTTCACGGTCAGTCACCTTTGCACTGGAGAGCAATATCGAAGAATTTAAAACATCATAAAAGCCAAAAATAGTAAAAATGCTAAGATTTTTGATACTGGTAAAGCTATTATTAATATCATTAGATATACATGATTGAAGATTAGCCAAAATCAATATTAAATAAAATTTATATAAATTGATTTGGATATATACTGAATCAAAATATTCGATCATATTATCCATACTTGCTATAATATCCTTTAACTGATATATAGCTGTTTAGAACATTAAAACTTAAAGAATGAATATCTTATCCAACAAGATCCTTTGAAAAAACAAACAAAAAGCAATTATTACTTAAATCTCCTTTATTCAATGTAACAGATTTTAATATCGAACACATCTTTTCACATGGATGTTTTGGTCGAAGTTCAATTAAACTTGAACCTTGAATTTGTGCTAACCATATCCAATCATAATTCAGAGGAACCTAATTATTGAAAAAACAGATTCATCAAAATATAAATTATCTGTAGATTTTATTTACTTTATGTAAATAATTGAATCCTTTATGAAAACCAGCTGATACTAAAAACCAATTTCCCATTAATGTTTGAGCAACAGATGGTGGTAAAAAATAAGGTTTATTATAATATGATCGAATAACTTTTAATGTTTCTCGTTTACAATTATTCCTAGATTTAATTCAATACATAAAATTTGTAAAAGAAATTATTTTTATTTACCATTGAACCATAAATGAACGACGATTACCATCAATATAATCATTAAAAAGTTGATCAACACCTCCCGGTCGATTATAATTACGAATATTTGATTCAAAATAACAGATATCATTTTCAGCAAGAATAGGATCTTCCATAAAAAGCTAAATCAATTCAAAACAAAAAAACAAACAAAAGATGCTGACTTGAATAATTCTCAATAAAAACAAAGAAAATACAAACTTGAAATAATTTTTTTACTGTTAATTCTTTCATTGCTGGCCAAGTTTCTGTTGCATCATCAACAATAACAGGTAAATTATTAAGATAAATATTTTTTGTAAAATTAAAAAAAGTTATATTCGATTGTTTAATTATTTGCGTTGTATTAGCACATTTCTAAGTAAAATAAAAATGATTTAATACAACACTAGAAAGAAAAGTAAATTATTGATCTTTTATCTCTTGGCGATTATGCACGAAATATCATTCTTTCTTATCAATTTTTGTTTTGCAAAACTCAATAAAAACGAAAGGCTTTCAACTACAATACAATGATTTGATTGATATCATCAGCAACAAAAATGTTTTCACTAAATAAATATACATGCAAATTATTAAGGATATGTCCAATATGTATGAATCGGAATTGGAATCGGTAGAGGTTTTTTCTCATTAACACCGATCAGGATACCTGTATGAGTCATATATTCCTCCTAATCACTACAGTAATGGTAAAAAAACACTATTTCTTGGCATCTATTAGTGAACAAAAAACTTCATAGGACTATAAAGTCTATATTAATTTTGTGCTTGGAGTAACTAGCCTTCAGACATTGACATTATTTATTAACGATATACTTAATGTACTTGCCACGCTATAATCACTTTATTATCTCTTATGCCTGTGAGAAATATATACTATAAAATCTATGAAAAACTACAATGTTAAACAATTATTCGATTTTGTTTTAATAACATGACTTCATATCAAAGTCATTTGAAAAAATATAATCAGGATATTATGACGAATTTTGACTTAATAGAATAGTTCAATGCATATTTCTTCACCGATATTATAATCTTTGAGATTAGTAAAAAGCTTTTGATTTGCGACAAAAAAACAAAGCATGGAAAATTTTTTTTTAAATCCAGACCATCTGATAAGAAGTCATTTACCGTTATCAGTTATAACACTTGTGGAAATATATCACATATTCTCTTTTTCCTCACCAATTATAAAATATCGTTTGTTGGTTTTTACCTGTCCTCTTATACGTATATATCTAACACATATATAAATTTGTCTTTTGTTGGATGTCAGCGATTTTTCCTGTTATTATCATCCTATACACACACATATTCTGTTCTTGAAATCCTCATGCTCTTTTATTCTCTTTACATTCTTTGTCTACCTATACAAATTTATTGTTATTAATAAAACTAAACTTATACAAATGAACATTGATAATGGCTAGTTACATAATCGGTAAGTATGAAAAGAATATTTTACATTTTTTACAATCATTAGAAGCAAGTATTTTTTTTCTTACAAAGCAGAGTCGAGACTTATTTCTTTTAATTGTATGTCTCATAACAAAACTATCTAATTAATACTGGTATTTCTTATAGAGAAAAGTTTTAGATAATCTTTAATTAATACTTTCTTTGATTTAAATTATTAATCAGAGAAAAATTTCTCATGCATCTATTTACATTGCATTCCGACAAATCCAATGAATTATTAAAAAATGGATTGGCAATGAAACATAACCTTGTATAAATGTTTGTCCAATCCCAGTATGGAAGAATCTTGAAAATAAATTAAGAAATATATTTTTTTTTGTTTCTTTCTTTCTTACTTTAATAAGTATTAATCGAATAAATGACAATAATACAAAATAGATATTATAAGTTAATTCTTCATTTAATAAAATAAAATATATAGATATCAATATTAATATAAAAGAACTAATAATAAACCATTTTTTTTTCGAAGATTTTTTTTTCTTTTTTGTTTTTTTTAATTTATCAAAATATTTTATTGAAAATGAAGAATCTTTTTCTTTTTCAATTAATTCAAGTAATTCTTTAAATTGATTATTAATATTATTTAAAATATCCATATTGTCTTCTTTTTTCGAATTCATTTTTAAACTAAAAGAAAACAAAAAATTAACCTTAACCTAAAGACTTTCACAAAAAAAAAAACATTTTTTTAATAATTTAATTTATTATACAAATGATATATATATATATATATATGTCTGAGTACAACGAATATACAATAATAATAATAATAATAAACCTAAGACCAACAAAAAATAATTCTAATAACATTCAAAAATTAAAATAAAGATACCAGAGAAAGAAAAAGAAAATGAGAGCATTGCTTGGAATTAAATGAATTCATAGAACAATCAACGCAACCAAGAGAAATCATATATCCATTGAAAATTGATCATCATCTAAATATATATTTTTATATGTATATTAAAACAAGAGCATACTATTTTTTTTTCTTTAACCTTTTCTATCCGATATGGATTGTTTTTGTTCGGATAAATTCATATTTAAATTAGTCATTGCTTCAGAAGTATCATTTTCAACAATAGTACGATTATTAAATGGTTCGGGAATCAATGTAACTAAAGAAAATGTGAAAAATAACATCTGTTCTATTATAATCTATAGTATCCTTGAATGACGTAGAACAGATACATAACAGAGAATGAGAAGAATCAAAATACATTATCTTAGATGTGTCAACATGAAAGGTCGTTTTATTTTCGTAGGAAAATCTTAATATAAGAACGATATTGATAATTAGGAAATTATATTTGATAAAAAGCAATCTCAGTATAGAAATTGCTGATTATGATTCTGATTTCGATACATTTAAAAATTAAATCAATTTCATAGAAAAAACAAATTTCATTTGTTAGAATTTCTGTTTATCCATTGATATTCATGTACAAATCTATATTAAACTATCAAGGTCTTTCTTGTATGTAAGTAAATCTTTCCTTTAGAACAAAATCATTATTTGAAACTATACGCACATTGAAATTGAATATTTCATAAACATAAATCAAATCATGACACTCCGATAAAAGAAAGAACGAAAAAGATAAATATAAAAACACATAAGACTTACAAGTGTGAAATTTCACACACAATTAAAAATAAATCTATATAAAGATTATAAGAGCATTGGAATGTTTCTCATTCGAAGTCTTATGATAGACAGGTAAAAAAGAAACTTTTTGACATGTGTCAGTAAGATTTTTTTTTTTGCGTATCGAATTTAATACAAAAATAAATCTACAAACTTTCTGGAATATAAGGTAAATTCAATGGTGGTGATCGTGTCATAGGTGAATCACGACGAGATAGAAGAAATATTCGATCATAATAAATACGAGTACCTAATTAATTGAAATTCCATATTCTATAATTTAGATAATAGTAAAATCTTACCGTCGGGTGTTGTTGAATAGATATTACCCCCTAGTGTTTCTCCATAATCTAATGTCATATCTTTTGAATAATTAATACCATGATGACAAATGGAAATTCCCTCACTATTACTCATTGATCGTTCTTTTGTTTTCTTTCTTCGGAAAATATCTACACAATCAAAAATCATATGTTAAGTAGAGATAAAAAGAAAAAATAGACTATTCAAGATCTTATAAGATCAACATAACCCTTATAGAATACGTATGTATGTATACATGTCGTCATTTAATATTATTGGTTAAAATATTATTCCAATAAAAAATTATTTTCTAGAGCTCGCTCGTCAACTGTAGATATCAATAGTACAATATTTCTATGTTGTTATATTGGGTGAATTTCAAGAAAATATTTTTTGAAAAATTTCAGTTAATTTATGTAGGATATAGATATATGTGATATTTCTAATAGAATATATTCATCATGTAAAATAATATTGAATATAATTAACAGTATACCATGAAAGACAAGAATTAATTTGTTTGCATACTGCATTAACACTTTTTACACATGAACATTTAAAAAAATTTTTTTTTTCTTGATGACGAAGAATTATTTAAAATTCTTGTTGTCTTTTTATATCAAAGTGGTAAACATAATTGAATCAATGAATATTCAAGAAGATACATTTGAATATTTACTTGTTCACGCATATATAAAATCAGCATGAGTGTCTCTCACAGCTACTTAAGTATTGTCCTTGACAGTGATAAATTTCCTCTTCAATATGATTGCTTCTCATTTTTTTTTTACCACATACTGTTGATTTACTTTAGTTTCTTCTATTAAAACAATCAACATGGAATTAATAATACTAATCAGTTTCAAATAAAAATTGAATGAAAAAAAAATGCATATTTTTGTTCTCTCTTTTAATATTCGTGTCATTTTAGTTCTATCTTGAGATTATATTTAGTTAATTATTAAACAATGTACGTGATAATATCTATATATTCATATATAAATTTTTTTTTTCTATATGAAATAAGAAAATCTTGTTGAGTAAGTAGGATTAGTTTGACACACAATTTGATGGTATTCATAAGTTTTTACCAATTGCAATATTAATAAATAATTAATTGAAAAATCAAAAGAAACAAGATTTTTCTTTATTGAGAACTCGAATTATATTAGTGTTCAATGATTTTTATTTGATAATAAACATATTTAATATGAGAAAATATATTTTTTTGTTCAGATCATTTTCTTTCTTTGTTTTTGAAATTAGTGTCAATATGATTGACGATGAGAATTTGACTATGTACGAAATTCATGACAATATATAATTGTATTCATAGTATCTGAGTTCGTGGTTCAAGTCGAACTTTTAATTGTTTTGGTGCAATTGTAACAAGTTCGACAAGTTCTAAATCTTCATTTGTTGAAGTTGATGGTACTATTGTATACTTTTGTAAAAGACGTATTATAGTAATTTTAATTTCAGTTAGTGCGAATTTCATTCCTACACAATTACGTGGTCCAGCACCAAAGGCAACCCATGCTAATGGATGTCGTTCAGTTGCAAATCTTTCTGGATAAAATATTTTTGTATCAACTGGTCCCCATAATTCATTATCATAATGTAAACTATACATATCAAGTGTAAATTTAGTACCCGGTAAAATACAACCTAATTCAGGTAAATCAATTTGTTCTGAACATTGCCGATTAATAATAATTGGTGTTATTGGATACATACGTAATGTTTCTCGAATAAACCAATCAAGACATTCTATTTTATTTAAAGCATCATAATCAAGAATAGTATCATTTGATATATAACGATCAATATAATCTTGTAATTTTTTTTGTTCATTAGGATGTGTAGCTAAAATATGAGTAACATATGCAAGTGCTGTACTAGCTGTTTCATAACCAGCAATCATAAATAAATAAATATTTTGTTTTACTTCATTAAGTGTTAATAAACGTTTACTAGAATTTTTCTACAAAAAAAAAACAACAACACACAATTAAAATTAATGTTAATTTCGTATTAAAAGAAAAAAGAACTTACTTGATTAGTATTATTTATATTTCTTTCTGTTGCTTCAAGCATCAAATGTAATAAATCAGTTTCATCACAATTTTCTGGTGCTTTTTCAACAAAATATTTAACATTTTCTTTAAGCCATTCACTTGGATCATCAGCAATTAATTTATCACCCATAGGTAAATATTCACGTAATTTAGCTTTTATTTTATTAATCCAACAATGTATAAATAACCAACATGGTTGTAATTCAGGTATAAATATTCCTAATAATGTTGTTAAAAAAGTACAATTTTCTCTAGCAAATACTTGTTGTGATCGAATTAAATATGGATTATTTGGATTATTTTGCATATCTGTTTTAATACTAAAACAACATCTCCATATAAGATCCATTGTTAAACATTTATATAATTTATAAATATCAAAACCTTCTGATTCTATTTTAATACATTCATCTAATTTAATCATTAAATTTGTAATACAATCATTTATTATTGGTAACATACGATTTATTTTATATCGTGAAAATGTTGGATTTATTATATTACGTTGTCGACGCCATTCATCACCGGTAGCACTAAATAAATGAACACCTTTTGTTGTTGAACGTTCTTCTAATGGAAATTGTCGACGTGAATGAAATTTTGAAAAATATTTTCGAAATATTTTATCTAATATATCTGGCTCTGATATGACAAAAACTGGTGTATGACCTTCAAAATAACCATATATACGACCAAATTGTTTTGTCCAGTTGTGAATTGATATTGATATACGTTTTGTACGAGCAAAATCTGCTACATTGCCCAAAAAAAATGTTGGACGTGGTCCATCAATACCTCGACATTTAAAAAATGAATAGCATCGATAGATATGAATCAAATAAAGTATCAATATAATTGTTATTAAAATCAATGTGACAATCATTGGTAGTTTTTTTTATTTTCATATAAAATTGAAACTATATGGAACACTTGTTAGTCCAAATTATTCTTGAATATGAAAGATATTAAATAGAAATGAGCTTTATATAGAAGAACAACGTTTTAGATTGGAAACTGTGTAGGCGACATGAATATTTCACAACAAAATAATGACGTAGAATATATTTGTCAATTCGTCTCGTCGAAAAAATGCATTTCTTTTCTGTGTCTAAGGGCAAAAATAAAAAAAGGTTGTATCGCATAACCTCAATTTTCTTGTAGAAAAAAAAAATATACAGCGAACTTTTTGTTTTTCCTTCCCTTTCTGTCTTGCAGGTATTTGTCCAGTGAATAAAATAAAAGAAAGTATTTACATGTGGGAAAAAATCCATTCTAATCAATCCACGCATACTTCCGTTTATGTCATAAACATTTTTTCAAACGTAATATGTAATGACATAAGGAAAAAAGTGTCGTCATGTCATGATTCAATATTTCATATTAATATGAATAATAAGTTATTTTCAATTATTTTCATAATTTGACAAAAGTACAACCAAATATAAATAATTATATTTTTTCATGCATGTTTCTCATCTATTCTTGAGTGGATTATTAATGACGTATATAAGCTTCATTTTTTTAATATATATTATAGTTTTAGCTTGGTTCTTTTTTTCGAATAGATTTCACCAATAATATTATTAATCATATTCTTAATATATGTGACAAATATACTGTTCTTTTTATTTTTGACTCATATGAAGTATTTCGAGTCAAATTCACCAGACATCAGATGCATTTTATTGTCTCTAGATAAAGACAAATATAGCACGTTGTAATGTGTACGTGTCATAATAAACTAAAGAACCTTTGTTATATTTTTTATTCTTTAAAGAACAACGAACATGTCAACAAAAATCAACGTCAGTCTGTCCTTATTTTCATCTATTTTGCTTGTCACTATATAGTCACATTAACATTTACATATGAAATTTGTACTATGATTATTAATCTTGTTTTTTTTTTTCATGTTAATATTATGAATACTGTCTGAGTGTCTTGAATCTTACTTTATATAAGAGAGTCATAAAAAATAATAAGACATATATCAAATATAAATTTATATTCTATGATTAATAAAGAAAAATAACTACATGACATGACAATGTTTGCCATGTTGTTGAAGTCTACGTCGAGCTTGTTGTGCAGCTTGTTTAGCAACAGTATCTTCAACTGTTTCTAACATACGACAAACTTCTTTAAATAATAAAACTAAATGCCAATGATATTTTGCTGAACATAATATCGTATTAGCTTTAAAATTTTTTTTAACATATTGTTGTATATCACGAGAATTTGTTATTGTTATATTTGCAAAACGTAAATCAGTTGAAATAAAATCAACTTTATTTGCAACAACAATAACAGGTAAATGATTTGTTAATTGTTCATCATCACCATTAATAATAATATCAGTTAATTGTTCTGTTTGTTGTTGTTGTTGTTGTTGTTGAGAATAAAAATTATTATTATTATTATATCGTATACGAATTATTTCACGATAAATATTTTTAATATAACTAAATGTTTCTTCACGATTTATATCAAATACTAATAAAAATAAATGTGCACGACGAAAACAATACATTCGTACCCATTCTTGTTGTGGATCTGTATTATTTGTATCATCAAAACGTGGTGTATCAATTATACGTATATGAAATAAACGTTGACCATTAAATAATGATGTAAAATGATATGTAGCTAAACGAGTTGTTGAATATAATGAAGAATAATCATTATATAACCATTGACGTACAATAGATGTTTTACCAACAGCTTTATCACCTATAACGGCTATTTGTATAGGTCGATCACACATTCGATTTTATTTGTCTACAAAAAGAAAAAAAAAAAGTATCACTAATTTAGCTTATCATATAATAAGTGCTGATGCCTGTGAGGCATTAAAAAAAAAAAGAAAAAGAAGATATTATCAATCATTTTCACCACACGATGTAACAAGAAGGAAGAAAAAACGTTCAACTAAAAAAAAAAGGAAGAAGCTATTTCTAGTTTTTTTTCTCGCTCGTTTTTTTTTTCTTTTCATCTCAGTTTCCGAGAATTTATAAGTGTTCTCGCTAGAGTATAAGCACTAGCATTCATTCATGCACCGCAAGAATTATTCACATGCAAAAAATAGTATTACATTGCTACAAAATCATCAAGACAGAACGACGAAAACAGAATGTAGATGAACGATGATGATGTCAGTCAGTTTCTCGACTTCTGTTTTTGTATTGTCATCGGGCATATGCTCGTATTGTTTTCATGATTTTCTTTTTTTTTGTCTTTCAAGACAAATCATTTGTCTTTTGGTCTATCAACATTTCTTTAATAAAGACAACTATAATAGCTCTCGAGTTGAATGATTCGTTTTGATCTTATTTTTATGCGAATATGTCGTTTTTTTTTTTTTTTTTTGCATCGACTAAAAGTTCCGTTTCTTTATCTCTCATGAGAGATTGCAATGCATATATAGATATATGAAATGCTCAATTGTAATTACGGACTCGAATTCATTTTTTTTTTTTTTTTGACGACAAAAAGAAAATTCTATTTCCTTCATATTGACATATATAAATATTAGATGATGAAATTGACCATAAGCACAAAAGATTAATAAATATTTCTTAGTTCTATAATAAGACAAAGGTGAAAATATGAATAGATAAAGAACAGTAAAAAACAAAAAGATGAAAGAATAAACCACATACTATGATTAGATTACAGATAAAAGCTTGATACGATACGAATGAAAAAGAAAAATGAAATCAATAGGAGGAAATTATATTGTGTTAAGAGATGGATCAATCGTCGTCTATTACTCATGGTAGATAAAATCAATTTCGATTATTGGTTTTTCCTTCTTAATATATATTATTAGATTCTAGTATTTCATTGAAATTTGCAGTTGGTTTTGGTGTTACAGGTTTAATTTTAATTATATTATTAATTATCTTTTGTTGTCGTAAAAGAAAAAGTAACGATTTTTTTTTAAATATTATTGTAAAGGAAAAATTCATCGAAACTTTTTTTTTGTTTCTATTATTGATTATATAGAGCCAGATAATGATCATCAATCAGATATTAGTTCAATTGAATCTTTTGAACAATTATATTTTAGTAAAGTACCATTTAATCAAATAGAAAATATTGATCAACGTATTATTGAACGTTGGTCATCAATTGATCGACCTTCAATAACATTCTATCGGTATGATGATGTTTCTTTTTTTTTTGTTTATTAATTTAATTATTTCGATTATTTTATTAATAGTGTTCATATGCCAGATTATTCTGATAATTTCTATCAACCTGTAACTGAAAAACGTTTACATTCATCTATTCAACAATCAAAAGCAATGGAATATATAGGTCTTGAGATGAATTTTTTTTAAATTAATTTTTATTTCACTATTATTATTATTATGATAAAAAAAAAGAAAAGAAAAGAAAAGAAAAGAATGTTCTGTTCATTAATTAATATAAATTTTTTTATGTTGTAGTACGTAATGGTACAACTTGATAACCTTCAGTTAAAAGTCTAATAACAGCAGCTAATGAAATACAACTAATAACAGCTAAACAAGCAGATACAATAGTTATAAAACCTTGTTGTTGAATACGTTGAAATTTTTCTCGATTAATAATAAAATAACATCCTTCTGTATTATAACGACTTAATGGATTTGCAGTATTTCCATAAGTATCAACACATAAATTATTATCATTCGAACGATATTTTTCATTACAACAACTTATTGGTAATAGAATAGATAATGAAGATGTTGATGGATTTTTTTGAAATGATGATGTTCGTCCTTTAGTATTTCCACTAGTTGATATTGTTGTTCGAACTATAGAAGATTGTCGACTTTGGTAATCTTCAATTGGATCTATAAGACCACAACATTGATGTTGTTTTTCTAATCGTGCCATTTTAGGTGTATTATTAACAATAATATTATTTCCACTAGTAATATTATATTGTGTTTGATCTAATTCTTTAATTAAATCATTATTAATTGATTTTGATAATTGTTCATTTGATATTGTAATAAATGACCAAATACTAAATGCAATAAGACCTAATGAACATATAATTAATAAACCAAGTGCAATAATAGCAAAATTTCTTTTAATATTAATTAAACCAATTGTTAAAATAATAAATGTTAATATTGAAAGAAGACCAAAAATAAGTAAAAATATTGATGTAATATGAAGTGGATGTTGACCAATATCAATAAAATATCGAAGATGACCAAGAACTAATCCACCTTGTAAAAATAATATTGCACTAACAATAACTGAACCAAACATAGCAATACATAATACTATACGAAATAAAATTCGTTTAGTTTTTGTTGATGTTTCATTTGGAGTTGTTATTGTTATAACTGGACCAGATATCATGTTTTTTTTTAAATATATATTATTATAAATAAAATGAAATGAATGAGTTTTTCTTTTTTAACGAATATTGTTTTCTTTTCTAGTTCAGATGAATAAAATTGATCGAACAAAATGATTTCTTTTCTAATGAATAACAGAATTTCACCATCTCAAATTACCAAAATGATATATGATAATACATCATATAAGAAACAAATTTCAATGAAATGTAGTAACAGAAAAACGAAACAGTTACACAATCACATCAAATTTTAAAGATCAACTAATCAAAAATATGAAGTATCTATTTACATTGAGTAATTACGAATGATTTTAGTCTTGTTAGTAATGAATGTCTTTAATATGAATTAATTATTATTTTTAATCATTTTTGAAAATTTCATAATGATAATCAACAACATAGAAATGAAGTATCAATAGTTTTGAATAATCGTTGAAGTGTTTTATAACAACAATCATTCATGATCGATTATAAAAACACTCATATGATTTAAGTGTCATTAACAAGATGTATCAATACAATTACAATCAAATACACTAAAACCATTAAGATAGCAAAAGAAAAAGGAAAATAATGTTTTATACAACCCTTGATTCGTATGCAATATGATAAAAACAAAAAACTTCGACAATGTTACGTGAATCTGTTGAAGAAAACTCTCTTCATACAATTGCATTATGTATCGATACGATAGACGACTTATCAAGAATAAAATGATCATATTACGATGAAAGTCCTTCTACTCTTCAATCGCTTTGAGTCGAGATTACTTCCATTATGAAGAACTAAATTGATTATGAATACTCTGAGAAGAGTTCGTGTTCTTAGTTTATTATGACAGAGCTACTACACTTTTACGATATTTTTTTTAAATAAATGCCGTAGTAACAGAAAAACTGATTTTCGAATTTCAACTTGAAATTTTGTATAGAGACAAGTCTCAATGAGAATAGTTTATTGTGAAAGTTTCCGATCTTTTGCTTTGCTTTTACTCTAAAATAAGAATATTAAATCTGCTTATTTATATAAGACATGCTATTATCATAGTTTTATCTTAAGATATGAATAGCGACAAGACTTGAAACATTTACAAAAAAAACTGTTCTCGTTAAGATCTGCCTCTATGCAAAATTTCAAGTTGAAATTCGAAAATCAATTTTTCTGTTACTACGGTATTTATATAAAAAACATCATAAAAGTGCAAGATCTCCGTAGCAATAAACTAAGGAAAATGAACTTTTTTCAGGGTATTCATAACCTATTTGACTCTTGATAATGCAAGTAATCTCGATTCAAAAGTGAGTTGGAGGACTTCTCTCACTAGTCTACTTTATCGAGAAGATCACATGCAAATAGAATAGTTTCAGAACCGTCGATTCTACCAAACATTCTTTTTTCTTTTATTTATTCGTATGCACATACAGTCGATATCAAAGATGAGATCTTTTTTATGGTGGTAGATAGGATTAGTTGAATTTTTTTATTTGAATTTTAAATAATTATTAAATATTTTTTTCTTAAACGAATTTGTTTTACATTTCGATATTCTAAAAATTCGTAATACTTTTTTCACAGAGTAAAAAAAAATTGTATTTAAAATTTTCCGATAGCATAATTTTAATTTATAATGTTCTTTACTATTGAATTCTTTCGATTCAAATAATATAGTTTCATATATGGATGTGTAATATTAAACTTCTCAATAATTGCTTTTAATTCAATAACACTAAAATTATTATATCGAATATATAAATAATGAAGTGTAGTTACGTTGAATATATCTAATGGTAAACTAATTAAATGATTATAATCAAGATTAAGAAAATAAAGATTTTTAACATATTGAATTTGAGGTGGAATTGATTGAATATGATTATTATTAAAATAAAAAAATTTCCTATGATTTGTTTTATAACCTAATGTTCGAATACCAATTAAATTTGTAAGATTATTTTTAGACATATGTAAATCAGTTAATTGTGGTAAATAAAGTGGAAGAGTTTCAATTGGACAATTATCTGTTTGTAAAGCTTTAAGTTTTGATAAATAATTGAGTGATTGTATTGAATGAAGATATGGATTATTTTTTAATACAATTTGTGATAATGATTGAATATTTTTGATAGTTTTAGGTAATGAAATTAATTTATTATTAGGTAAATAGAGTACAATTAATGAAGATAGATTACCAATACTATTCGGAAGAGTTATTAAATTAGTATTGACCAATTCTAATGATTGTAAATATTTTAATTTACCGATTTGTTCTGGTAAATGAGTGATTTTAGTATCATAAATACTTAAATGAGTTAGTGTTGATGCAAGATAATCAATTTCAATTGGAAGTTGATGATTAGTATTATAAAAACTCGTATTTCGTATATATAATTTTTGTAAATATTTCAAACAATAAATTGTCAATGGAACATATTTTTGATTAATAATATTTAAATAATAAATACGTTCCTTGGCATCCATTAAACCATTTGTTCTTCTGGGTATTTGTAATAATGGATTAAGATCAACATGAAATGGAAATGATAAAAGAACTGCATAATCATCTTTATACTGAGAACAATTGATTGATGAATTATTTCGAAAAGCTATTATATAAACAAAATATTTGATAGATAAACATAAATTATTATTATTATTATTATTAATCACTTGAATTCGTTGTCAAAGCAATAGTCCATTCAATTCGTATTAGACATACAAACATTACCAAGATGATTAGCCATTTCATTTTATGAATTGTTTCTAATACTTTTTGGTTACTTAATAAAAGAACATGGTTATATAATGAATAAAATGATTTGAAATGCTTTTTGTCATATGTGTTAACGTTCAACCTCAGATCGAAAGGTGAATACAGCCAATTTCGTATTCATCTAGGAAAATCTCGAATTAGAGACTAACGAGGGAAGTGATTCACTGCTTTTGAACTTATATTTTGGGTATATCGAGAGGACCTCTAGACTACAATAAACCTAAAAGGATTCGGATCCATAGGTCTTCTCTACAGAGTTATAGCAATTTTCGACCTGATATTTTGTCTACAGATAGGTCTACTTGTAATTAGAATGCCCTGAAAATTTCAGCTGAAAAGAATGTTTCCTTCGTGAAATATTGAATTTTCAAAAATCACTCAGATCTCATAAAAGATGCGAAAATCTCATGTTTTATCAACATTCAATATCTCACGAAGAGAACATTCTTTTCAGTTGAAATTTTCAGAGCATTCTAATTACAAGTAGGCCTATCTATAGACAAAATTTCAGATCGAAATATCATCAGTCAATTGATTTGTATATACCATGCCATAGGCTAAAACTCAAGTAAAATTGCTATAACTCTGTAGAGGACGAACTATGGATGAAATTGAATCATCGTTTATGTTAAAACAAACTTTAAAAAAATTAATTTATATATCGATTGTAGGTGTGATAGTGGGGCGGCAAGAACAAGTACATCCACATCGACACCCTTCGTTGATCTTTCTTTTGTGTTATTTGTTTATGATTTGATATATTATTTGACTTTAGACTAGCTTAGGTGGGTCTGACATTAGACGGCTAACATATACAATCTATGACGGATATCTAAACAAATGAAAGAATCGCTTTAAAAATGTATCATTTGAAAAAAAAGAGACAAGAACCCATCGATATTTGATCCTTTATAATGTAAAATATTTATTTATTCGGCATGTATAATAAACAACAGGACCGATTTCGACAATAGTATTGAGAAATTGCATGTCATAATTAAATTACATTCAATGACATCACTTTGATCGAAAGGAAAGAAAATATTTCACTCATAGGAATAGGTTTTTTCCTTTCGACGTTGGAAGTAGGATGAATTATTATTGTTTATAAAATTTGCATAACATTACAATATGATTTTAAATGAAAATATTTTTAAAAAAGATAAAAGATCTATTGATTGTTAGTTAATCATTGAGTTCTCATTACTTTTAGATTAATAATCTACTTGTTGATGTTCTTTCACGAGAAATAAAATAAAAAAAGTTACCTTTTACAATGTTTGTTCAGGTATTGTTAATCCAATTATGAAATGTTATCAAAAGACAACAAATTTAGTTGTTACAAAAAAAAAATATTAATTAAGAAAACTAATGAAATTAAGTCTATAGTAACAAATGAAGATATTTTCTACGCGCCATTCATTGTGAATAATATTTATTCGAATATTCAAAAATTTGTCCTGCAATAAATTATGTAAATTCAAGTAAAAGGTATCCGAAGACATAAATTACAAGGTCAAAATATGGCGGGTATATATGTTTGTGTGATTATTTCTATCCTATTCCCTTAGAGTATTTTGACATAATATGTACATATTTTAGACATCGTATTTTGTGGGTTTTTTTTGATGAAAAGATTATTGATAGTCTGTATTGCACACTTAAATTAAGTGTCAATGTTATCTTTTTTGTTGTTTTATTTTTGACTATTTTTGATTTTAATTAAGAATAAAGGTTCACATGTATATTCGAATCCATATCATGCAAGAAAGAAATGTTTTTTCAACTAGTCCATCAGCTGATTGAAGGCTTTTTTCTCTCTCTTGGTCTATTTTGGTGTTGGATTTTAATCTACGAAATGAAGACGTGTATAGATGAACAAAGTTTTATATGTAATAACTATAGACGATTGTCAACGCTGATATTATTTATCTGTTCATTATCTGAATGACATCAGTATTTGGATTTGAATGAAAGGAAAAGGCAATATAATTCTCGATGCTTTGCAATTAAGTTAATCAAACTAGTAACTTCAAACACTGAAAACTCGTTCTTGTATCTAACGGCGAACGAGAGAGAGATATTTTTAAATGAGCATTGAATAGAAAATAATAAATGAGTCAGCGTATATCATATGTTTTATAATGATGTTGATAAACACTCTCCTAGAAAAAAAGTATACATGCACTTTCTTTATTTCTAGCTGCAGGCACTATTTTCATTCAACTGCTGATCGATATGCGTAAATACAAGATTAGAATAAACCGTTTTAATATATGTTCATCGAACCACATGGATATTTTTCTAAGAGGACAAACATACTTCTTTTTTATGCTTCATAGCACGGACAAATTTTACACATTCATCGTTGTATCATACTTTCAATAAATAGTATGCAAAACATGCCATGACTAATAATGTATATTTAACAGAATTGCAGAACTTACTTGGAAAGCAACGCTCAAACATGCCATAGTATCTTCACTTTCAAACAATTCACACATACTTTTATGGATACAATAACTTTTGTATATCTTGATCTACTAACAAAAGACATTGCGAAGAGATTATTAAAAGTGGGCAAATCTTAAGGAGACTCTCAATGAAAGAAGAAACTTGGATGAAACGTTGTTTGTCAATATTCTTCTGAACAATCTTGTTTCCTCTTTCATTAATGTGAACTATTTTTACGTGGAGGATAGAGTCGGTAATATGAGAATATTATAGTAAACTGACAAAACGCCAATCATCACGTAATGATTTGTGTAATTTCAAACGAAAACACGCAGAATAAGCACTTCATTCCTGTTCTGACACACTGCGCCATTGGATGTCGGAAGTTGACAAAAAGCATACTGACTGCAGCAAGTGACTCTCTCAGGCCTATTATTATGACGTACACAAGTAGCGATATGCAGTGCATTGATTTAACTGTAGGGTTAGAAAGAACAAAATTTTTCTTTCCTCGATATTGCTCCAAATAGGTTTTTTCCAAGTAAAATATAATAAATAATTGAAGGGACTCTCGGAATATTTCTTTAGTACGTTCTCTACTATATTCGAAGAATATTCTGAAACAAAGGGTAAGATTGGCAAAATATTAGTGCTTTAAATGCATTCAAATAGCACATTTCGATTATCTTCGCCACGCTCTTTTTTTCGGTTCATTTCAGTCAATATTCTTCATTTCACTAGGACAACTAAAGAGATCAGTTTGGAACCATATATAATCTTAGGAAACTTTGAATAGGATATCCTATACATTTTTGAATATTACACACCCCCGAGACCTTTCACAATACGGCACAGCTGCTGAGATTCTAGCATAAAGTCGTTTCTCAAAACACAAAAAAAAAAGTTAATCAAATTTTCTTACAAAATTGACGAAACAAAGTTCATTACAACATCATACTTAATTATTGAGAATTGGAGTGCATATAGTTATGAACACAGTGTGATTGATAGAATGGGACTCTATATACAACTTACAACGGTATTAGATGAAAAGCACTCATAAAAAACAATTTTGTACAAAAAAAGCATTTCATTCTCAACTTTTACAAAAAAAAACGCTGTTTTTTATGCGTTTAAATCCATTGCTTTTTATTTTAACGTATTTATACATATCTAATATTTATTTGTAGCACCTACAAACACACCTTTTATTATTTACGGTGCGTTTCTTCAATTCACAGTACCATATAAAAATATTGTTTCAACGTGTGCGTGACAAAACGCGTTTTTTTGCTTCTCAATCCACACTATTTGAAACAGTGTTTATATTTTTTTGTGTTCTTCTACTGAAAAAATGGTATTTTTACAAACAAGTTAGAACGTTTTCTTTCTGATGCGTTATATTGCTTAAATAGATCTATTCTAATGAGAAATATTATGAATATTACGCATGAAAGAAATAATAGTATAACAAGCACGGCAAGCACAAATGAATAGAGAAAGTTTACATTAGTTATAAAATCTCATGAGCAATTTGGAAAAACTATCCATGTGATAAAAACTGGCGATTTATTGATATTTCTTTTGGATAAAGATCGATTGATTCTGCTCAGTACCAAACTTAGAGAAATTGAAATTTTTTTCAAGAAAAAAATTTTTGAATATTCACATTTTTTACACACTTTGTCATGGGTCAGATCGTATCGGCATGCTGAATCCACCTGAAATATCAATACAGAATGAATATGTCTCGTAACCTAGATTCAGTTTAAAACTTCTACGTGATTTTTCATTGGTCACAACTGGTGAATCAGTTCTTCTTCAGCGAACATTTGTCCATTCAGAATGCAAGATACGTTGAAGATAAATATCATCTTGACTACTAAGTTTTATTTATTATCTTAGACATCAATCAGAGAGCTGTATGGGCGATGATCTCTGAAAAATATCGTTCTGCAGTGGCATCGCCAAATAGTTTTTAATCTATGAAAAACGAGATAATAGTACTCTTCGCACTTAACGGATGATTTTTCTGTTTCTATGTACAACTTACCGTTCATTATGAATAATTAATCGTGGTCTACCGCTATTTGTAACATGAGTAAAAATAATTGATACTGATGTTACGACTCTGCTAAATTATTTCCATACAACAAGTCATAAAGTCCGGTTTTTTTTTAAATTTTTAAAAAATTCCTATTGATATATAGTTAGAGATTTATTTTTGTGATGCTTTCAATTCATTCGAAGAGTTTAGATTTGAAAATAAAAACTTAGTTCATGTTTGTTTATCGTTTTTACAATAATTTAGTCAAATATTAGCTCAGCTTCTCTTTCTTTTTTTGTTATTGGCTTATAGTATAGCTCGTCGAAAAATGTGACTTGCTGTGTTAGATTAATAGAAAAAAACGAATAGAAAAATTGTCCAATGAAAATGTTTTATATGTCAATATGCATGTCTTGTTAGACATTTCAGAACACCTAGTCCTAACTGAATATGTAACGAATTGAAGAGAACTAACTGAACGATTCTTCTAGTGACACTTTCGAACTATCGAATTTTGTTAACATTTTTACTTTGATCACAATTATGATTCAAGTCACCGCTTAGATTGATATTTCAAGAGGTAAGAAAAGATCATATTGTTTTTTTTCTTCCTTGCAAAAGCTTTTTTCTATCCGTTTATCCATTGTAGTTATTTCATTATATTTGCAACATTCAATTACGCGTTTCTCAATGACTTATTTTACTAAAAATTCGATAGATTTCAGTAGTCAATAAAGCAAAAGTTAAGGATATATCTCTCCTGAAACCTTCGGAATTTTTAACAAAAACTTACAGAGGAACGTACAACAGAAGGATGTAAATAAATATGATAAAATAATTGATATGGATAAGTGAATGGAAAAAGTTTTTGTAGAGAAAAAATACGTTTTTATACCAATAACATGTATTGTAAGGTACGTGTTCTTGAACGGCTTGTTTGCACTTGTAGTGGAAACAAGACGCATTCCAACGTGTTTGAATAAATACATTTTGAGTCTAAAAAAAATCTGTGAACTGATAAAAACATGTGTTCAAACGCAGGTTTTTTTGGAATTTTTTTTCTTTGGCATTTCAAACCTTGTCCAGATTCGAGTTGTCTTTAGAGGAAAAGAACTTCGAATTTCAAACGATAGATATGAGAATCGATCATTTTTTGTGACAATTACGGTGATACAATTTATTTTCTAATTGGATTTTATTTTAGTGCAAATGGCATTGAAGAACATGATCATTCGTTCATTTGAACCCGATGATCTATTACATTGCCAGAATATCACGCTTAGTGTATACAAAGATTATGGCAATATAGATGACTATGCTGAAAAGGCAATTAGTAGTGATATGGTAGATATAGAACAGAATTATTTAAAAATTCCCGGAGGAGACTGGTGGGTTGCCGTTCTCGATCAACAACATATTATTGGACAAATAGGAATTCAACCATTATCTGTCGGCGATCAGAAATCTTATCGCGACGCTTTAATGAATTCTGCATTTTCGTCTTATATAGATCCTGAACAAATATGTGAATTACGCCGATTAGCTGTACTATCGAAGTATCAAAGACAACAAATCGGTTCAAAGCTACTACAAACATTGATAGAATATGCAAAAACATTTGGATATAAAGCTATTCATTTAACGACACTAACTAGCATGTTATCAGCTTGTCAATTCTATGACAAACATGGCTTCAAGCGAGGAAAAATAGAACAATACAATTTAACCTTTGACTCAGACAATAAAGTTATATATACTAAATCTACTGTTTTTGAAAATCCATCAGCATTAACTGATGATGATCGTCATTTAATCAGTCAACCTATGTATGAAATACATCGTATATATGTTCAACATTATTGGATGCTCATAAATTAGAAAACTTTTATAAACTATTATCTTTATAGAAATTATGTATATGGATTTTTAGAAACTTTTTCATTTTCGAAATGTTCTACAAAGTTGCATTAATTATTAAATTTTTTCTTATTTTAGATGAATAACAATATTGTAGAACGATCGTCTAATGAACACGAATTGAGAAATGATGATGATAATACACAGGAGAAACTATGGCGCGATTGTAAACTTAATGACCTAACAGAAAACAAGGAAGATCTCACTTTGGTTTGGTTAGATGAGCAAATTGATGATTCAATCGATTTTCAGCAAACATTCGAGAAAATTCGTGCATCAAATGATTACATTGTACTATATACTGACCCACAACTTTGTATTACTTACATTCAATCCGTAGTTAACGAAAAAATATTTCTAATACTATCTCATTCCATAGCTGAGATTATTTTACCTCGTGTTCAATCAATAAACACGATTGCTTCGATATTTATTTATGCTACTGGCGCTTCTTTTTTTAATATTGATTCAAGACAATATAGAAAAGATATTATTATTTGTAATAATCGAAATTCTTTGATTGAATCTATAGAAAATCGTTTTCGTATGTTTTCGAAACAAACAGTTACATTTAGTTTATTCGATAGTACAAAGCAGAAAGCAATGCGCGAACTTGCAAATAACTCAGCTTCGTTTTTATGGTTTCGAATACTGTTGGATGTTTTAAAGGAACTACCAAGAACAAGCGAAGCTAAAGAGCAAATGATTCATATATGTGAACATTACTACCGGCGCAATAAATCGCAATTAGATAAAATCAAAGAATTTGCAGACACATATCAACCTTCAGATGCTATTCGTTGGTATACAGAAAATAGTTTCGTTTATCGACTCATGAATAAAGCTTTGAAAGTCGATGATATTTATTTGTTATATCTAATCCGTTTTTATCTTATCGACCTATGTAAACAGATTGAACTCATCAACATTGATTATTTGTCATCTACATCATGTATTCGATTGTATCGAGGTCAAAAAATGCATGAAGAAGAATTTGAAATACTAAAGGCAAACATTGGAAATTTAATATCACCGAATGGATTTTTTTCTACATCGAAAGATCTTAACGTAGCATTAATATTTGCTGGTGAAGATGATTTTGAGAATAAAAGTATTCTATTCGAAATAAGACTTGATCCAACAAAAATAAAGAACAAGACAATTGTCGGAGCTCCTATAGAAAACTTCAGTAGATTTCCAGAAGAAAAAGAAGTTTTATTTAGTATTGGAACAACATTCAGAATCGAAAATATTATGTATGATGTTAAATTGAAAATATGGCGTGTGCCACTTACTCTTACAGATGACGGATTAGAACATGTTCAACAGTATGTGAACTCAATGCGAAAAGATTTAGCAGAAACGAATCCTACACGATTATTTGGTAAATTACTTATCGATATGGGACAATATTCAAGAGCAGAACGATATTATGAACTTATTCTAAATTCTCTGCCTAAAAATCATGAAGATTTTCCATCATTATATCACGGTCTTGGATACACACATTATGTGAGAGGCAATTATACTCAAGCATTAAAATACGATAAAGTTGCCTATGAAATTCGAAAACAAATTTTACCAGAAAACCATTTAGATATTGCTAGATCTTCATTGAATCTTGGATGCGACTATATACGTAATGGTGATCACAAGACAGCTATGGAACTTCTTATGGAAGCATTACGTATTCGGCAACAGAATTATTCTGAACAAGATCATGTAAACATAGCGATTGTTTGTGCAGCTATCGGTGACAACTACATTCATTTATGTGATTATGAAAATGCATTTAATTTCTTAACAAAAGCACTGGAAATGTTTAAACGTGTACTTCCATCCGAGCACGCAAAAATTGCTAGTACACTAATTAAGATTGGTAATCTTTGGGAAAAACAAGGGTTCTACGATCGTGCTCTCGAACAATATCATAGTGCTCATAGTATGGCAGTAAAAATAATGCCATCCGAACATCCAACTTTACAAAAATATTTTGAAAGAATTGTAGAACTCTACAAAAAAATAAACTCTATTGATCGAGCTATCGAGTTCTGCAGTGAAAAACTGTCTTTACAATATGCGTCACTCGGTGAACTTCATCCTTCCATCGCAAGAATTCATACTATACTCGGAGACTTAAATACTAATACTGAACAAAAACTTTTCCATTATCATAAGGCATTGTACATTTGGCAGAATTCTGATTCTGACAATGAGCAAGTCATTGCTAATTATCAAAATAAGATCAATACTTTAGAGTTTCTACCTCAATAGTGATCTATATTTTCATTGTAATGTTTTCAAAAGGAGTAAATATTAATCGAGAATTTCTTACTAAAATTCCTGCAATATTCTCTTCAAAGCTTTCTCATTTTTTCCAGTAAAGTGCTAATAGAATATCGTACAATCATATAAAAATGTATCTGTTGTATTCTGATAAAACATACATTGTATCAATACAATCAAAATATTGGCAAAGAATGACAAGATGAAAACCCTTGGTGTTTCTTTTCTTTTGTTCTATTCGGCGACAACTGTTGTCGAATAGCAAAAGATTCAAATAGTTTTTCAAAATGATAAGACGCTTTGTAATTCCAAATAAACGATCAACGTCATTATTTGTACGATCATTTCAAATGAAAATCTAGAAACACTCGGACGCCATTTGCGAGAAAAGAACGAATATATTGAAACTGAATAAGTGTGCAAGAAAAGGTCTTTTCTCACGAGAAAATCTGATTTTGTTTAGCATTCAACACCTTCTGAAGAAACCATCAATTTTAACTGAAACTTGCCAGATGTTATCAAAACTGTGAGATCTATTTTGAAGTGAAATTTCAGATTGAAATTTCTGGACTTGATTTTGCTCGTAATACTCTGTCTTAGGCTGGAAATCCAGTAAAATGATCATAATTAGAGAGCAAGGGTCTAATGGGAAATATCCTTTTAGAGTTTTTATCTACACTTTGAGTTCTACCAATGAGCAAAATATGAGCTCAAATGGAGTGTATCAGTTGATGATGTTCAGACAGCAAGCAATTGATGATCTTTCATAAGATCAGCACGGAATGAAATATATCATAGTATCTTGATTGTGTAATGTTTATTGATGCAACAAAACGAATATTATACTGAGGCGGACCGATTAATATTCATCAAAATCGTGAAACTGTTCTGTATCCTTTATGATCGAAGGTGGCTTTTCAATATCGACGTCGAACTGAACACTTAGAGCGTCATTTTTGTCAGTTCTTTCTTTTTCACGCCTCTCATCATAGAAATGTGTTGTAGCTTCTTGTAATTCAAATGTTTCATCCGTGTTATTAATACGTTGATTGTACACTTGGCTCGGAGTAACTCCAATCATCAGTTTTCTTTAAATGTTCTACATAAAAGTTGCTTGATTTTGAAACAACTTTTCAGAATATCATTTCATTTCTTAAAAAGTATAATTGCAATAAAAAATAGTGTTCGTTACGAAATTTCATCTTTTTCATGAAAATCAAAATTTAGACCAAGATAAAAGCAATCATATATTCATTAACAGCATTGAATTTTGCATATAATGATGTATTTTTCACTAAAATCCAAGGAAGAAGAAGAAATTATCATCTTTTTCTGCCCGAGAAATTTTCGAAAAAAATCAAAGTAGGAATTTTCATAATTTAAATACTCAATTTTATTCAGAATTTGATGGTAATTCAAAATAGACATACTTTATGAACAAGAACAGCATAAAATCTTTAATAGTTTAGACACATCGCAATTGTTGGATATTAATGAAATTTTTTAATACAGTATTTTTATAAAACAGATGCGAAAATTAATCCTTCTGTTTAGAGATGTCATTTTTATTGCAAAAATTAGCAATATAAACGAGTTTCGTTATGTAATTTCATGAAAAATACATATAGCTTTTGAATACATTATTTTAATTCGTAGGTATCTAATATTTCGATGAACTTATATGTTGAAAGAGTACTTCAGGTTATATCAATTATTGTATTTAGGGTAATTTAAAAGTGATGGCGGAAATATTTTAATTCTTCAACAAAAAAAAAAAGCTTAAAGAAACTTTTTCTCTATATAGTTTGATAATAAACACAATGTTCTGTTTTTCTATGATATTTGATCATTCTTCAACTTCGTATCGAACTTCATGAAACTATTTAGATCATCTTTCAAGTACCCTATGAGAAGACACTTCATCACCACAAACAGGACATAATTCATTATGAATAAATCTTGCTTGAAGATTAAATACAATGCACACTTTTATGTAAAAGTGAAAATTTTTCTTATTTATCCAAAACAGAGATATTAATTTTGAGTTCTTTTAGTTGTAATAACTAAGGAAAAGATGATGGTATTTGATGGATTATTGTAAATATTATGTACATTAATTTCTGTTAATTAAAATTTTGCCACTTTTGATCGTTTGCTGTAGTATATTCAAATCGATACTTTTATAAATATTTGATTTTGTAGTTGTGTTTCTTTATAATAAATAGATGTCGCTTGAGAACAATTCCTAATAGTGATTCCATAAACTTCTTGTTATAGTTTAAGAATAATAATACATGGATCTCCTTAGAAACAAACACATAAGTACAGCAATAACATGTATAGACATGTAAATCTTTATTCTTTTTTAAAGTTTATAACGACAGATAGTTGCATCATTTTGTTTTAAATTTCTCTGCAACGTTTTATGATTATTTTTCGTGTTAAATTTTAGATTTACATACATATCATGTTACGTATAATTAATTCATCAAATCGAGCTCTTGCTCAACGTATTGTTCGTCCGATATTAACTGTTACTCGGTAATAGAAACCTTCCAACTAATTATTATTTTAAATTTTTTATCATTTCAGTGCTGAAATAGGTACCGATGCTGAAGCTGGTTCTGTTGCGTATGTTTCTTAAAAAAATTTCTAAGTAATTTTTCATTTGAAATATATTTCTTTTCTTTCCTTTTTAGTTCAGGTAATGATGCATTTAGTAAGAAAGAACATGCTGAAGAATCACGTTGGGCTCGTCGTCATGTAAAAGATAATTAACATAAAAAAATAATATACAAAATATATTTGTATTATAGGATGCTGAACAAATTGCTAAATATCGTGCTGAACATTCTTCAGGTAATCGTCAAACAACTGCACAAGGTACACTTCAACAACGTCTTGGTGCTCTTGAAACTGAAAAACGACGTATTGAACAAGAAATTGAACAAATTAAACGTCAACAATGTTAAATTTGATTATTTCTATTAGAAAGAAAAACTTTTTTTGTTTTTTCATTTCATTTTCATATGCAATTAGTAAGATCAGATAAAGTCATTTTCCTTCTATGTTTGATGTTTTTAAAGATAAAATCATTTTGTTTCTTGTCATCTAGAAAAAACATTTATGTTATTAAATAAATTCTAGATGCAACCATTATCATTAACTGCTAATACATATTCTGATTGTTATTTACAAATACGTCGTGGTAAACAAACAATATTTACTGATGTTGCTGAAACAACAACATTATTAGAATTAAAACAAATTATTGCAAATATACTTAAAATAAATCCTGAAATAATACGTTTAACATATAAAGGACAAATACTTGATATTGATGGTAAACATTTACATGAATATGGTATTATAACTAAAGAAGGTCGACCACAAACACCACTTCAATTAGAATTTGTTCTTCAATTAGATGATGGAACATATGAATCAGAAGAAATTATTCCTTATACTGCAGAAAGTAATACTCGACCTGATGATTCACAACAAATGGGAATTCCAATAGATTCAAAATAACAATTTTCTGTTTTTTTTAAAATCATTTCTTTCGTCTTTAATAAAAAAGAACAAATAAAATATTTCAGATTATTTATAGAGTTGATTTTTATCGTTAACAAGAATATTTTCAACATTCTATTAAATACATTAAAAAAGAACGAATTGAATATTTAAGCTCTCCATCCCCCTCAAGAATTGACCTTCGATCAAGTGCATTCAAATCATATGCTATAGTGGAAAGGCTATGTTGGAATTTTCAGTCCTATACCATAACGTTTTCGGGAAATATTGGACAGAAAAGGATAAAAAATAGAAAAGCATATTCAGACTGCAGTACCTTGTTTTAAATTCTTACTTTTTACGAGGAGAATAAAGAATGATAAGTTTAATATTTCTAAAAACTCTCAAAAAATGATCATCTATTGAAACATCATAAGCAGATCTTACCTTAAAATAAATATTCATTGAACGGATCGTCTCTATAAAAAAAAAAGGATTTGTATTTATGAATTATGATCATAGAAAATAAAACATCGTCAAAACATATAGTTAATATTCTTCTGATGAATGTTGTATTTGAAACCGTCAAGATTCGCATATGCATTTACAGTGACAATATATTCTCAGCAATCTTGCTGTTTTTTTAGGTGTAAAATGATTGTTAACAAATCTCACAGACAATTCATATTATTCTATTATGTTATTAATGTTTTTTATACTTTAGATCTTTATTAGAATTATACGAAAAAAAAATGTTTTTTACAAATTTTACACATAATATTGTAATCTAGTTATTCATTATCTATCCTATAATTTCTTTTCTTCATCTGTTTATTGATATAAAGCAAGACAACTATCATTATGGTAGTGCAAACCTATATTAAATTAATAATTCACAGACAGTAGGTTTCTGGTAGATGTTATTCGTTAGTCCCATACCACAAAACAACAATCAAATAGAATGTTCGATCATAGAGTAGAACGGAGATATTCTGAATAAATTTCATGTCATATTTCATTATTTCGAACATAAGCATTTGTATAATAAAAAATAATAATTCGATTGGTAGGAAAATTCTCGAAAAAATAAATGGTAATGAACATAAGCCATTGAGTATGCTTAGTAGATATTTCTATATATTAGAAAAAGAAACCAAATGTGAATATAGAAATACTGATTGATTTAATGTCCAATGTTTTTGAAGATCAAAGATAGATGAAATAAAGAGAAACAGTTAAACTTGTATTGTCCGTAAGTAGATTCATGTCAAAGAAATGATGAAGATTTTTATAGTACTAAAGATCAATCAAGTTGCAATTGAAATTTAAAAAAAGTCCATTTTGGAAAACAGATCTGTCATCGTATTTATTTGTCGACAAGTATTGTTCCATAAATGTGAATACTTTAAATGCAAAGAATTATCGTTTTTTCCCCTGGTCTATTAAGGTCCATTTACTATTCAAACTCAAATTTATTCATGGCTAGTGTATAATTTTAAAAAAAAGTAACAATAAATAATTATTATTGTCATTATATGACTTCATACATGTATCATTATACAAATATTTTACGTTAACGAGTAATCTACAAGCTGAAGCATTAAATTATTGGAACGTTATCGTTGTCTATTGAATATTAAAAGTAACAGATACTCGTCTGTATAATTTATCATTGATGTAACATTGGTAACTGAAAGCTTAGTCTTGTTTCACCAAACGAGATCAGTACATGCTAGACATATAACAGCTACATGTTTTTACTTGCTATCACAACAATAGTTGATGGCTCACGATAAATCACCATTACTATGGGATCGGTTTGGGTGTTCACTTCTTCTTCACCCACACTCACACTCTCGATTTGAAAGCTTTGAAGCAATGATTACCAATATGATCAGCACTATAGATGGCGTAAATATTTCATACTTTGGTTCGTCTTTCGAACAAGTTGCATCGCAGATATCTTCATTTCATTCTGCTGTTTAATGTACTTTTTAATCACAGTACCTTTTTGATGATCGTTCAAAATATGAAAATATAAGGTCTAAGAAGGTACTTGTGAGAGAGACACACCAGAGTCTTTGAAATTTACGAGAAACGAAGCTATTTTTCTCGCACTTATAGACTATTTTCGGCTGAGACTTCAAGGTAAGTCAATATGTAGCGTATGCGTCGGTATGACACTTGCCGATTCACACTCTCCGCTTCTACTCTCATCAATAGGTCCTGCAGCTTGGACGTTACAGATAATCGAGCTCAACTGTTAACGTCAATCATAAAATTCACTCTGTCAAATTTGAAGAAAACAAAAACCAACGAATATAGTGTGCTCAAATTGTAAAACAATTACAACTCTGTCGATGTTTGGCGATCATTCTTGTCTACTCACTCTTTATTAACTTCTTGAATTTTGTATAGATATGCAGCATTCGCTGTTTTGTCTCTCTCTCCTTCTTTTTTTTTTATTGCTCCAATGCATGTCAAACTCGTATTGCCCAGGTGAAGAGCAATATTGTATTTAAGTGCATGTGATAGTCAATTGCCTGCACAAATATTTTTTTCATTTGAATATCAGCATGTTGATAAACACAAGCTCTCTGTATATATATGCTTTCGTTGTTCATAGTCTAGAGCACAAGTGAAATAAGTTAGTCGACAGCGTTGTTTGCTTATTCAAATTGATTTTAGTATTTTATAATCAATTGCATTCCTCGATCGAAATGCACTGGATGACAGCAGCCTGTTGTGCATCTAATACAGATCTTAGTGTGCCACGTGAGAAGCATATTGAGTGGATTACAAATTTACCGGCAAGTCTTCATGATGAACCAATATCGAAGCTTGCTATTCCCGGTAAGTGTCTCAGATCAAAAGTTAATATAAGTACTTTTAGACGGATCGAGCTCCAATGTTGAATCTTGAACATTACTACGTAGTTCAATCTGGTTCATTTAAGACAAGATTAAAGTTTCTATTGTTTCACCGCCATGTACAGAGATGGTCTCGAGATGTTTGTGAAATCACTGGTTGATTCTTATAGATAACTCTGCGTATTTTTCGAGTTTTCTATAGCTAAATGCGTTAATAAAATATTTGCGAAAAAAGCATTGGAACAGACATTTTTATTGCAAAACTCCCTGTCAGACTTTCATGGTAAATTGTTCTTCTACCTAGGTTCGCACAATTCATTTGCCTATGACCTAACACGTACTGCTGGACCAGATTTGTCTGTCGGCTTGAGACGTTTTCTTCCTTTGATTGGATGTTTCATCAAACGTTGGAGTGTTACACAAAAAGAAACATTCATCGGTATGATTTATACTTCATAGTTGTTTATCACTAAACTAGAATGCTTCTTATCATAATCATAGGACAGTTAGAGACTGGAATTCGCTATTTCGATCTGCGTGTCTGTCGTATGACAGATAAAGCTTCCAATCAAACATCTCAGTTCAATTTTACACATGGTCTACTTGGCTGTCTCGTTGCCGATGGCTTGAGAGAGATCAATCGGTTTCTCGATGAACATTCGAAAGAAATCGTTCTGCTAGATTTCAATCATTTCTACGAATTCACCGATCAATCTAGCCATGATCAGTTGATTCAATTGATCCACGAAATTTTCGGAAAGAAGTTATGTACAACAGCAAGAACAATTAATGAATGTACATTGAACTATTTGTGGACAAATCAGCAACAAGTCATTATATTGTACGAAGAAAATGCTGATAAATGTACGGCATACATGGATCGAATTGGTCACTTTTTCAAAGTTTACACTCAATCGATTTTTATTTATTAAGAAACAGTAGTAGATCTCTGCATTGTAGATGTGTCAGTCTCCGTGGCCAAATACGACCCGAGTCGATGATCTATTTCGATTTCTTGACGAAAAAACTGCATCACCTCGTCCGACCAATTTTATCAATGTTACTCAAGGTCAAATAACACCTGATGATAAATCCATTCGAAATCATCCGTTCGGTTCACTTCACTCTGTCAGTCACGAAACAAATCAACGTCTAATTCAATGGCTTACCGATCACCATCGTGATCCGTCGCTTGCTAATGGTGTCAATATCGTCATCTGTGATTTTGCTGATCCGCTGTTTGCTGATGCAGTCATTATGCTCAACTACAAAACTATGAACCCCATCACAGCAGTAACTTTATGATAATGAGATGGATTTTGCCAAAAAGTTTTTTTTTGTATGAAATTTTGACGATTATTTGAGTAATTCATTATGTAATATGTTGGATGCCTAAATCGAACAACGTGTTGAGCGGAAGTGTCATAATTTTGAGAGCATAGTTTTATATCGAGCAGTACTGATAACTGATGGAAAGAGTGTCGACTAATATTTGAATTGCACTGACATTGATACATCATTGAAATTTCGACCAATTGAAATGAAATTGTTTGAGAAGTAACATATAGTTGTTCGAGACGCATAAGAGTGGTTGTTGGAAAATTCTAAAAAAATGCCATTTAACACGTATAGGTGTGTACATGTGAGTGAGTTGGTATTGCGGATTTGATGGCGTATGAGTGCATGTATAGGGTCATTAATCACTTCACTTGTATCCACAGTCACATCCAACACTCACCCATGTCATTTTTGACAATATGCGGTTGTTTTTAAAGACGTAAACCACTGTTCATCACTAAATTGAATTAATTGATATTTTATTATTAATTTGGTAGATAATAATGATATTTTTATACGTGAAAATATAATTGAAAGATTTTTATTATCATGTGAATGATTATGAAATAAATATTGATGATACTGTATAGTTGGAACTATTCATGAAAATTATCGTATAAATTTAAAGAATAAAATAGGTAGAATTAGTTATTCAATGTGTTGTATAATCATGTTTAATTTATATTATTAGTTTTTGGTAATAATGAGTATAACCATTTATCCCATATTGATACATATATATTATATCAATACTCTAACTATGAAAAATAGAAAAAACCCCGTAAGTCTAATTTGATATAAAATCACTAAATCAAAATTTCGATATTTTTGATTTGAGGAAAAATCCATTTTAGTTCTAAGAAAGAATCATTTGTACGAAAAATACAAAACAATGAATATTATTTACAGGTTTTAATTATCGAAAGTTTGACTTTTACGTAAAATAATCACCATATTCAGAATGTAAATATAAAATAAACTCGACTTTTTATTGGGTAAAACTTGCTCTTCTACTCTCCGTTGGTAAAAAATTCCTGAAAAATACTTCATGATAAAACATACAGCTTTATTATATTTGTCCTACTCAGTTTTTTGATAAACTCAAAATGCATCAATTTCGATTTAATAACTTCATATCTCCTCAACGCACCATCACCCACCCACATCCTCTACCACGGTATGCCATAGATCGTTGCTAAGATGTGTGTCGCGATCTATGTGGGAAGGGAGAAGGGGATGAGTTCAAATTTTTACATTTGTACTTCATCACTTTTTTTAGATTGTGTTTGACAAATATTAGCGACAAGAAAGTCGGTTTATACCACTTTTTTCAACTCCGATAATACTAAAATCAATAATACTGCTCTTCTCTACTTTTCAAAATTATCTTCAATAATAATCGAATCAAATCTATATCTCTATCACGTTTTTCTGCTTTAAAACTCCATCCTCCAAAATCGATTTTTGATACAGTGCATGGAATTTCCATGAAACTTTCTGAAGATGTTCGACTATTAGAAGTACACTATAAAAAAAAATTGTACGATTCGAAACCTTACCGTTCAGGAGATTTCCAGGAGCTATAATACAAAATAGGACTTTCATGTGTACAAATTTTTTTTCAATACACTTCAAGCTACAGCTCTCGGAGTACTTTCATTTCAAAGAGAATTCCTTACTGCTTCGAAAAAATCTATTTCGAAAAAAATGCACGAACATTTTTTTGCATATTTACTTAAGGAAATTTCTGACATGAGCATCGAATATGGTTATGTTATACACGAATTAAAAATTCATCTAGAGTCTTATAAAGTGATCTTCTAGCTACAGTCGTAACTGCAATAGCGCTTATAGTTTGCCTATGAATATGATATTAGCCTTTTGTGCTGGAGAGCTTTAGAAACTCATCATGAATTCTGAAGAAACCTTTTAAAATTAGAAGTTGTTCTTATGAAAGTTTACACTAGACAACTTAGTGGTCATGCCTATATATTTATCTGAAACCGTGTTTTTTTTTTTAGAAAAATCAATGTTTTGAAGGGTAGTCAGGCCTTAAACGATGAATTAACGCTCTGAATAATCTTAATCAATGATTGTATTGTTATAAAAATATATTTTTTATTTACATTAATCCTAAAAAGAAATAAAATACAATAAAGAATTGTAAATAAAAATTCATTAGACTAAATAAATTTCTTTATTTTAAATATTGTTGATAAAAAATTTGTGCAAGTCTTTCATATCCATGTGCCGATGGATGAAAACCATCAAATGAAATATATTCAGGATGTTCACTTAATTCTTTCCAATATGAATATAAATCTACAAGATCACATTTATTTTTCATAACAATTTGTTTAATAGCATCATTCCATCGTTTAATTTGTAAAGATAGAAGAAGTTTAGGTATTCCAAGTGATGTATATAAACTAACTTTAGATAAATCTGGAATATTTCCAACAAGAATTCGTGTATTATTATCTAATTTATTTCTTAATTGAGATAACATTTCATTAAGATTTGATGTATAACTAGTTAAAATTGATCTATCATATATTTGTTGATTAAAATCATTAACAGCTAACCAAATTGTAATTACATTTGGTTTATAATTAAATACTTTAGGTAATTGTTGATGAATTGCATCTTTTAAAGTTGATCCGCTTCGACCAAGATTAATTGTTTGTTCAGCACAAATTAATGATGCAAATTTTGGAACCCAACCATCTTTTGAAGGATTCGATGTTCCAATTCCAACAGTATCAGATGCACCTATACTAATATAATTATCGATTTTTATTCTATCAATTGATTTTGTATGTGATGTTATGGATGTAAGTGAATCCAATAGATTACCCATTTTGTCTTTAATATACAATATAGATAGGTATTTTTATTCGAATTATTGATAATATTATTCTTGTTTTATATAATCTCAATAGTTACTTGGAATAATATTCAAAACTAAATGTATAAGCTAGAAGAAAAATGTATCTGTATATATATATTCAACGGTGACTCAATAGTGCAATGTTTTTCTCTTCATGATGATGAGAACATGCGGTAGGTTCTCGTTTGTTCTTGGCTTTAGTATAATATATGAGTGCAAAAAGTAGTGTTTTTTTCTGTTCTTTCTCTTTCTACTCAATAGTTCTACAAGGTTTGTATGAGTCATCGCATGACACATATCAATGATTTGATCAGAACATAAATTAATTGAGAACAAAACAAGAACAAAAAACATTTTTTTTCTCAATTTCGCTTCTCAATTATATTGGATCGATTTTTTTTTAAAAATATATTTAAAAAATAAAATAAATATCTATTCATAAAGCGTTCTTTTTATTATAATTAGTGTAATAAATATTTTTGTCATATTTTCAATTAATGAAATCTTTGAAAATAAACTTTTTCAAAAGTGAAAATACTATTTATTGAAGTGAAAATTACTTTGAAAAATGAAAAATATTTGTACATGGATGAAATATTGAAAAACAAAACAAAAAATATTCGGATTTCGAACTATTTTTTTCCGATCTTGCGAACATAATCATTTCTTTATATATAATAAATTAATTTTTTATTTCATCGAATAAAGAAATTAAAATAAATCATAATAGAATTCTATTTATTGATAAAGAAGCAGTTCATTTTAGATAGTGTGTTTAATCATCAAAATAAACGTATTTATACTACAGATCGATGTTCTTTGAGATATGATGATTTTGCTCATTTTCTAATGATAGTATTCTGTTTTTTTTTAGAATACAGCGAGATCTCTAAAATGAAGAATTGCTATTAAGATTAGTTTTTCTATTTTAAAATAATTTTTATCTATACATTTGATTTAATATGATGAACATGAAATATTAATTGTGACATATACTTAGGATGAAGAATATGGAATTCGCATACGATTGTACATACTCAATTTAGATGCTTGAACAATTTGTAAAAAAAAGCCGCCTCTCAATGCCTATTTTTTGAGGAGGAAAGACAGATGGAGTGATGATGAAGTGAGAGTTTAGTTATTTCGTGCATTTCTAGGTACCATGATCCCTTTTATTATTGGCATTTGTCATTGAAGTCTATTATTTTCTAACGTTATTCTAATTGACAACTAATTCAAATGATAACATTCAATATCAATAAATACCAATAGTATAAAGATTTCTTCACTTTATGCAATGTAATCACTGATTGAAGCAGGCAATTACAGATCACTATTCATTTTATTCATTCAATAACGAATAAAAATAATATCACTTTATTTAATAGAAATGTTTATATTAAAAAAAAATGATTTTCTAGAATGGGATAAATAGAATTGCTTTTTTTTATCTATCGACACAAACAGCACAATTATTTACTTGAATATGGAAAAAATAAATAATAAGTGGCAATAAAAGAGGCATGTAAACTAGAGTCAACGAGGACAAATAAAGAGAAAAATTATCAAAATGTTTGTTTTATAGAAGTTTTATCATGTTTGATTGAAGAGACATACATTGTTGATCAGCATATACGATTAAATGGAAGAATGGGTGTGAATGTAGGTGTATGGGTGAATATAAGGTCAACACTCAACATGAGATGAACACTATCTAATTCATCGCTTTTATTCAATGGATCAATCAAAATCAATTCTATACAATATCCAATGTATTTTGTTGATCGTATTATTTAAATGACACAAATATTTTTATCGAAGTGTTCTTGAATCAAAAGTGTTGAATTGCCGCTTATAGTGATAATGATGAAGAACTTTGTCTTAGTTTTACAAGTGAACAAAGACGATATCATCAAGAAAGAATCTGATCGACAGATATTGATAGTTGCATCATGAAAAAGAAATTAGTCAATCGATGCTGATATCGATATGTTGTTAACAATCTATTCAAAAGTATCTGCCAAGAAAAATTCTTGCAGTTTTGTTTGTCTTTATCTTATTTGGGATTAATATTTCATAATCAAAAAAAAATCAACCGATTTACAATTCTTTAGTTATTTGCGGAATAACATTGATTATCAAATAGTACTGTATGCAATATTATACTAGGCTGTTTAATCTTCATCAATGTGAAATTATCATTCTCATTAAAATACCAAATTAAATATAATAACTGAGAAACTTTTTGAAATTTGTTGCGAATCCATGTTTTTGCTTTCACAAACGTTTCATTTTGAATAATTGTTGCCTTCGACTGCAGACCTACTAAGAAGTTTTGTAAATTATACGTGATAGTACTTTTCTCTTTTGAAATGACTACAGAGAGTGAAAATTCAATTTTGAACTTGCATAAAGTTTTCTATGAATTTATGGAAGGTTTTCATTGATTTTAGACTATTAGCAAAAAACAGGATGTGCTCGGGTACAAAAAATTTGTCGAGCCCTCTCTCAGGAATTTTTGTTACCTTTGAAAATCTTCGATCGCATAATAAATTACTTATCTAAAAGAAAATACTTGAAGAAACATTGCTCACTTTTTTAAATTTTTTTTCGGATTACGACACTTACTCAGATTTTCCTTATGTGTTAATGAATCCATTGTCGAACACGTCGCGTACATGGATCTTTGCTGACCGAACATTTAGAAGGCAAATGTGGTTGCAATCAGCCATGCAATATGATTCTTCTTTGTCAATGACGAACAGTCAACAGTTCACATCCATTTATTCTCCATTGACTACAAGTGCTTCACATTGAACTCTCAATAGGGAACGAATCAACGCAACACATCGTGAACTGTGAAAATAATCTTTAAACTCAAATCGATGATCAACGAATATATATGAGGGGCTCAATCAAGTGATGTTTGAGTTTGAAATTCAGCATGATTTTCATACCTTGATATATAGAGCGAAATCAATTGATCG